CCAGCGCTTCAGCAGTCTTGTGGGCGGACTATATGGATTTGTAGCAGTCGATAGAGCTTGAGTAATTGGATTGGAATTTAGAGTCAGTCTGTCATGAAAATTATTAAAGCAGTCAGTGGCAGTTTCCGTGATAAAAGGAATGTTAAGGTCAGTGTGTAGCGTAAGGTTTGAAAGATAAAAGGGTGCTTCTAAAATTTTCCGAACGACTTTTGACTGGAATGACTAGATGATTATTATAATTGATTTCTTTGCTGTTCCCTATAGTTCGATTCCATATGTCCAAAGTGCTTTCATGAGGACTTTGTAAATAGTTAATTTATTAGTCACAGATAATTTAGAACGTCTGTCATGTAACCTAGAAAGAAGTCTGTATCACCGATTAAGTTCTTTTCTTTTTTGTTTTATGTGGTATATCCATGTAAGTCGTTCGTCCAAGTGAAGACACAAATATCGTACAGTTTTTGAAAGTGGTAGAGCGATGTTATTAAAGAACACTGCATGACAAGAGTCATGTTTAAGTGTAAATGAAACAAATTGGCTCTTAGACTCGTTAATTTTTATCCTCCACCTTTTAGCCCAACAAGCTATGTCGTCCAGGTGTTCTTGAAGAACCTGAGAAGCCTTAGCTGCATCCTTGTTAGATGTTAATATTGCCAGCAAATGTAGCCAACAGTGTTTCGGAATGTTGTGGGATGTCCGAACAGTAAATATTGAAAAGTGTTGGACCCTTTTCATTGGAAACATAATTGCGTAAATATACTGAAATGGTTTTAACAATGACAAATTTTGCTTTCATTCAAAGTAAATTTAGTCTATTTTATTATAAATTTATTTATAATCTATAAATTATTTATTTATAATTTATTTATTATAAATTTATTTTATATTAAACTATTTTATTGCCTCTTTCTATCAACTTTTGTTTAATTGTCCATAACATTTATGAATATATCTCTCGTCCTTATTTACGCTTCCGGTACTTTAGTTCAAACTTCGTCAGATAACCGTTGGAGATGACGCCACTACACATCCCTTCTCTCCACCCCCACCCTGACTAACACCCTCATTGCGTAGATTTACATCTCCGTAATTAGGTGGGCCTTCTCTTTATTTTTATTTTTCTTTCTTATTTCAACCTCCTCAGTTTCCTTCCTCCTTCCTTTCATCCCTCTGCTCTGTTTTAACTCTGTATTATATTATACGTTGTCAATTTTCTATCTAACTATTCTATTCACAATATCTTGATTTTACTGTTTATTTCCATTTCTAATATAACTTCATATTTTTCTGTTTTTATATTTTATTCTAAGATTCCCATTTTAATATTTATGACAGCTTTTTCTTTTTTTTTTTTCATTATGTTTATTTCATCATTCAACGCTTTGTACCGCTTATTATCATTTATCTCTTTGTTCTTACTATTGTCATTATTCTAACAACTGAATTTTACTTTAATTTTTTTTTTTACCTACACTACTTATGTTTCTCATACCTTGTTATCTGGTTCTTTTCTTAGCCCTGATGATGGCCTGAACTTCAGGTCGAAGCGTCGGCTAATGTCAAAATAAATAGTATCATTTATTTATTTTGCCTTCTTATTTGACTGATCACCCCAACTATTCTTCTCTCCATAAATTTAGTCTAGTTTAGAGTGAAGCAATTTTTAATTACTTAAATTAAATAATTCATTAATTCTAGCTTTCTAATAAAAACAAAAACATGACTTACTCTAAAAGACACAAAATGTTGATTTATTAATTTTCTGCTTAAAATTGGCCCATTGTTTATATAACCTTTTTGTAACTCTTGGTCTGCTATCACCCTTCTGCTTGCGCCCCCCCCCCATATAGGTTCCTTGGAAGCGGTAATAGGTACATTGTAACCTATATTATTGCGGAGGTACTATGGAGCGAGGACTGAACAGTAACAGTCGGCACAGGTCACTCCCCCCGCAGACTGCAGAGCTCCCAGAGCACGCTTTCACCGGGGGAATTCCCAGAGAGCCGAGGGGGGCGCCTTGAGATGCAGCCCGGGCTACGGCTACAGGATGTTAGCTCTATTCAGCCTCGACAAAGGCTTCCGGCATCCGTGCCAACTCCTCGTTTACCAATAAACGGGCAATAGGCGTGGACTAGAAATAAAAAGGAAAGAACTGGTGCGAGCATCACACAACAGAGTTTATTTTATCCCTAATGACATAATATAAAAGATTAAATTAGGAAAATGCTCGATCTGGCATAAAATGAGTTTTATTTGGTTTTCTAACTGTTGTGATTCTTGCAAAATAATTCCAAATTAATATTGCCTAATACATTATAGACGATTGTGTATACCGCATATATAGTTGAAAATTAATACTAATAATATAATTAATATTAATATATGCCGTGTGAATCCTTTAAGATTGGATTTCATCAGTAACTAGCAGAGAGACCAAATGCCAAGGTTGAATGTTTCCAAGTTGATTCATATCCGCGGCATGGAGTCGTCTTCCTAGTGCTCTTCAATACAATATTATCTCACCAACATTATAATAATCATATTAATTATACAATTGTATATTATTATCATACTATCCGACATAGATTTCTAAATATGTCTTTATATTTTCAATTAGTTTGGATTAATATAAATATAAAAATACGCACCTACTGCCTTATTATGGGAATTCATAACAATACTCAAAAATACGTTTTAAGGTGACAATTCAATTTAACTATGGTGTTTCATTTAATTTTTCGCGTTTAACTTATTGTTTGTTATTTTTAAAATTGAAGGCTTTATTAACATTGAGTGGGTGTAGATACCAGGTAATCAATGTTCCAAAACTGACCAAAACAAGAAAAATATTTAATTTCTATACTAACATGCGCCTTTTATAAAATTAAAATTCAAGGTTAATTTGGTTAATTCCAAGGTTAAGGTTCTAGATTAATTCCAATATTTTTAAGTGGACTGGAAAATTACACAAAAAACGTTATTTCTCATTCTCTCTTTATTTAACCTTTGCCAAAGAATCACTCCATGCACTTACATATTAATTTTTTTTTTCTATTTTCCTTTTAGAAATGTTATCATTGTGTAAAACAATAAAATAAAGAAAATATGGGAGTTCTCGGGTGATATATGATAAATGATTAAGTGTCAAAGAAACGTTGGACCGATAAAAGGCGTAAAATTTTATATGAAAAATTTTAAGCTTGAATAAACAGATAAGGCGGTACTGAAATGGAATACCTTAAAAATATTTCTTTGGTCATCGATAACCTTCATAACTCTTATCGCTATTAGTAAAAAATTGAAAGGAAAAGGCGAATAGAAATGTTGATGAAGAAGGATCATCATCGGGTGACCTCTAATTCTAAAACCAAATTTTAAAAAAATCGGTCCAGTAGTTTCGGAGAAAATGCGCGGAAGGCGGACGAACTAAATAAATTTTATTCGTTTTTCGAATTCTACGTATAATGAAACGTCAAATTTTGAGAGGGGATTAAGTTTTTGAATTTTGTTTGATCACAATACAATGATTCATTGTGGTTTATTGAAAATAATAAACCAAAAATAACAGAAAATTGTAATCTTTCAAGAATATTTATTTCCCAGGAACCTTCATGCCAAGGTTAATATAAAATATCGATTCAACAAATTATGGCATTCTTATAAAAATGGTCGATTTAAGGTTTGATTAACGAAAAAAAGCATTAAACAAATTTAATATGATTATAAAGTAAGCAAAAGCACAATACTCCAGAAATATTAGATTGATTTTTTTTTCTTGAGTTTTTTTTTTTCGTTTATGATGCAAATGTAGTCCATTTCATAGTTTTAACTCGTTTTAAAATTAAATTATTATTACTTTTATAGGATTGGAGAAATTCATTAAATATTGATATTCTTTCAACCGTTACTATTTTTTTTTTTAATTTATGTATAAATAATAAATTGAACATATATTACATTTTTGTTTTCAATGTAATTTTTCTTCAAGTTACTAGTAAATATGTTTTTGTTTTTTTGTGAAAAATTGTTGAACGTAATGAATTGATATTTTTGTGATATGTAATACATAAATATTTAATTGATGCTATTACAAATCTAATATCTCAATTCAATGTTAATATCAGAGATTAAAAACGTTTATAGAACTTTTTTTAAAAAGTTCCATTTCCATATTCGTTGTGAAACTTTTTAAGAACAAACTTTTTTAAATAAAAGTTTTACGAACCTTTTTGTGATATAGTTATTCTAGATTTATAGTAAAAGTTATAGTTTTAATTATTTATGTTCTCAGAAAAATTTATATTAAATGAAAAACTAACAGTAATAGGGCATTAATTAGAGTTATAATTTACTTAAAGTTAATAAGTTGATATTTTAATATGTCGTTGAGTAGATAGGAAAGAGTTATTTTTCAGATCAACTTTTTAGCGAGATCAACAGACAATTATTTTTATTTTTTATTTATAAAAGGTCTGTAAAATCTTTGGTTGTAAAATTGCAAAGAAAAAGATCTAATCCCCAAATAACATTAACAAATTTAAAACAAATATTCCAGTCATGCTAAAACAGATTAGCTAAAAATTTTTATTTCAAGTTCAGGTTTATATTGTCCCCTTTCTTTCAAATTTAAAACATTGTAATATGAAATATCTATATTTATTCTGATGTATGTTCATACTTCAATATTTTATATTATATACCCAATACCAATATTTTATATTATATACCCAATATTATAGACCCAATACCTATTGATATCATTGTTCAATATCCACATTCCTTCTTTAAACTCGATATATACGTAAGTTATCGAACTGTAACAATGAAAGGACATAACATACACAGCCTTTCACATTATTGTTATTAATACCTTATCAATTACCTTTTACGGCTAAAACACAACTGTTGTGGCAATTAACTTCTAGAAAGTTCACTATGATATCCGATCCGCATACCAGAATATAATCGATTGGAGAGCCCGCCCGTATCCATTTCCATTTCTACGACGGCTGGCCGTCCAGCAGCTTACCTGAGTCCGTACCCCGCGGGTCGGTAGATCGGGCTGGCGATTTATCAATCGGCCGCCGGAGTACCGTTAGAGAAATGGCCGGACCAGCCCGAAGAGCGGCGACCTTTGCAAGGAGATATTGGAGAGCGAAAGGTGTCTGGAGCAAAAGTAGTCCGCCGGCGAACAGGTCCGGATGACATTTAGAGCCGGGGGTGTGGTCTCTGCAAGGACGAAATCGGGAGCCAGCGGGGGGTGACATCAGGGTAACTCGAGGGGGTTCTTTAAAGTTCTGCAATTTTGTAAAATAAAAATTAATGTTATTGATTATTCAATACATGTGGCGAGGTATCGATTATCTAACCAACATCGATCAATGGAAATTATAATTTACTAAAGACTAGTAAAACTGAACATATCATTTTTTTCTCGATGCACCAACACCGTATTTTCTGTTACACAGAAGGTTGTTCTAGAAGTAATACGACACCTATTCTAACCAGAGTGGAAAGGTATTGAGGAAATACGGTTGGCTAGCGGGATAGAGAATATCTGGATAACATGATCAAACGGAGCTTTAACTGGACTAAGGGGGGCATTGTAAAGACACCAGGAATTCGGAAAATTGCTCTCTAGCTTTGTTTAAAAAAAAAGGAAAGCCACAGGCTTTGCTCGACAAGCCACAGAACGTGAGCGGGGGCGGAGTGGCTGAGCGGAGTAATGCATGTGTAAAACACACATTGTCCGGAAACCAAATGATTAAGAAACCGAAGTTTATTAGATCCAAAATAATTGTGAGTTATAATCCCTGTTCCGGAGGACTTTTCACACTGACATAATTCCCCGCCCTCTCCCCGTAAACGGGAAAAACCAGTATAGCTTTTAAAAAACCATAGACCATGTGAACGAGGCTTTTTTTGTATTGCAATACGATTAAAAACCCACATACAATAATATTTCTTTCCACTGTCTCATCCAATCAGCCACTCAAAAAAAAACTTACTCATCAGCCTTGATATTGCTTAGATTAATAATCTGGCATTACAAAAAACTCTTATCATACTATCTAGTAATTAATTCGCTCATGAATAATAGTTCCAATGTTAATTGTATAATACAAGCGTATAACAACTTTTAATCGACTAATTAACTATCGACAACAATACAATGAAATCAATATTAAACATGGCGTAAATCGATTTATTTTTTAGTCATTGTATTCAAATCACTTTCGGCCAAGTTGGAACCTTACTTTATCAGTTTGCAAATCGAAGTCGTCTTATAAATATTAATCGCTAAGTCAATATATAAATAAATGATAAGTTGACTTTTTTTTTTATTTAACACTCCGACGGTGTAACCATAGCAACAATGTTGCAATAAACATCGATACGATATCTTTGCTGTTATGCGTCTGTCTTATACAATATCCGGCTTTTTATCCTTGTTCAAACACTTATAGCCAAAATGAAACTGATTTTAATCTAAAAAAAAACTTCAAAGACAAAATGAATGTATACAAATTTTAATCTTTCCTCGATATTGTAAACTTGTTACAGAACAAAAGATACATTATTTACAAATAATTTTGTCAATAAATATGTAATTTAAGTAAAATAAGTATGTCAATGAAGATGTTATAAAAGATAAGAAAAATGTACACATAAATATTACAAACTGTTTCACAGACCTAAACAAGCTACGTATAAAACTAAAAACTACAAAATTATCTATACTTTTGGATGAAAAAAAAAACATTCATTGTTAAATCCATAGTCAAATAAATATAATCATAATGAAAACATAATTTGGAATTTTGGAGAAGTTGATAAACTCAGCGCATCGCAGAGTTCATCAATGGCATTGATTAAGACAGTGCTGAGTTTAGGAACTTGGCCTCTAGCTTTCACAGAAGATGTTGAAAAATGTCTATATTAAATTATATACTATCGAAAACTGATATTTAAAATAATAATAATAAAGAAATTATTACATAAAATATAATAATAGAATTCAAATTAAAAATTAAAACCCATCATTCGAGAGATATTTGTTTAATTTTGTATCATAGAAATAATATTTTTCAGTTTTCGTTTATAATGAAAATATATTTTTGATACATTAAGGTTTCAGTTATTATAAATTTAATTTTTATTTTCTTTAATTTTTTTACAGTATATTAACCAACTTTTCTCTAGTACATAGTAATAAGCCTTTTTAATAATAAATGTTAATACTTTAAAAGGTTTTAAGAAATTTAATTTAATTCATTTAATGTTTATCTACTCACATCCTAGACAAACGTGTACCTTAAATGAGTATTTTCAGTTTCGATTGATTTTTCATTTTTGAGCTAAGCTGTTTACATAAGCAAATTTGCGAGATTTGGTTGTTTGTGCTCAAACTGTGAACCGAATTACCGTGGAAAACATGAATTCGAAATTTTTCACAAATATAATATTTTTTATATTTCATATATAATAACTAAAATAATAATATTGCGGATTATCCATATGTGCTTGTTCTAGATGAAAATTTTCTAATATTATAAAATAAGGCTGTTTATTTTTTCTCCATATTTATTTTAATTTTAATAGCTACGTTTCGACCGGTAAGCCATCTATAAAAAGTGAGCAGTACAAAGAAAACTATAACAAACGTAGCTATGAAAATTAAAATAAATATGGCGAAAAAGTAAACAGAGCCTTATTTTATAATATTGCGCATTATTTTTTTCGGGGCATGTCCCTTTAGAATATTATACAATAATAGAATTGGAAGCTTTGGCGCCACAGAGCTATACAAAAAAAAAAAATAGAAATGATAAAAATTATAAGTTACCTTCTAACTTAAATTGATTGAGAAAAAAATATGATAATTAAAATAATAATCAAGAACGTTTCTATACCCTGCAAAAGACGTGGACCATGACCAAAGAAAGCAGAAGAGTCCAGTTGGTCTCCGTGAGAGAAATCCTAATAAATATCTTTGAAGCCGTCAGAGAGTAACAGCGTAGTTCGAGAATCAGACGCAACATCGAACTAATAGCATTATGGTGAGCCAGATATCCTTACTGCTATTAGGAACAACAGACTCAGATGACTGGATCATGTTGAAAGAATGGATCTGTGTAGACTGCCAAAAATGATGCTGAATGGCACTGAAGAGGAAAAAGACAGAGGTAGACCCAGACACCGATGGATGAATGATCTGGAAGAAGGCTTGAGAACGCTGGGGATCATAAATCGGAAGAACCTTGCTGTGGAACGTAAGGAGTAGAGAAATGTGGTGGCAGAGGCTCAGATCCTAAAAGGACTGTAGCGGTAATCGAAGAAGAACGAACAAATAATTTACATACATATTTAGAGAAACGCATCAATACAATTTTTTGGAGACTGCATGGATAGGAAGGAACAGGCGGGATTTAACGGTGGGAAGGGTATTGGAACAACGGATGTAAGAAGGGATTCAGTTCCATAGTTACGAGGATCAAATAATGAAATATCAGTCGAAAGCCGGGGTTCGGTAATGAAGATTAATTGGTATGTGGAAGTATAAATATCCAACCCTGATATATCTAATATTTTTTGATATATGCTTTGACAACTATGGAAAAATTATTTTTATTTTTTATAAAAGGTCAATTATAGCTTTAAAAAAATTATTTATAATGAAAAAGAAAATTATAAATATGGGAAAACATTATTATTAAATGAAAAATGTGAGATAATTGGTCATTTTAATGGAAATTGTGATAATGAAATAATGAGCAAAAGTAAAGAAAAAAATGAAACTATGGACATTTCTGCATGAGGTCTGAAATGGGATAATGATAATGAAGATAAGTGGGAACTGGGCGAACACAAACGAGAGCCATTGAGCCTTCGCACTGCCCAGTCTAGACGGCATGGTCATTTCCCACTCAGCGTTCCACTTCAGCAAGAATGTCTGCCCCAAATCTGCCCCTTCATTCCTTCAGCCAGATCTCCTCGCCAATGTAACTCTACACCTTCGCTAACTGTTAAAAATATCGATAATTATTATAATTAGTGTAAATATTAGTGTTAGTGTGCCCAAATGCGAGACCGCGACAAGTCTTGGTCTTGCAAACTCAGTCTTGGTCATGGTCTTGGTCTTGCGCAAGAGCTGTAATTTTTTAGATAGGAGAAACCTAAGTAAGCCCGAATGAAAAATTAGGAGAAGTTAAATGCATAAGTATAATGGTTATACCAATTATTAACATATTGTAACTAAGGTTGTGAGTGGGCGGGGTAGCCGAATGGGCTAACGCTTGTGCACTGCACCGCCGTTGCCCGGCAACCTGATACATAAGTCTTGGATAAAAAAATAGTCACGAGTTCGCGTCCCGGTGCCCGGAGGAGTTTTTAAATCCCCGCCCACACTCCCTGGCCCGGGAAAACCCCGTATAGCCTTAAAGGCGAGGAAGGAGAGGACAAAAAAAAAAAAAAAAAAAAAAAACTAAGGTTGTCAAGTATTAGTAACTTTTTGCTTTAATTTTTGTTTAAAAAATTGATTTTTTTTACCAATCCTGGTCTTGGTCTTGCAACAATTAGGCGGCCTTGGTCTTGGTTTTGCAAAGTGCTAGACCAAGACCGATTTTGGGCCACACTGGTAAGTATACGAGTCTGTCCGTCGGAATTCTTGACAATTCCAGTCCTTCTTCCAAATGAATACAATATAAATGTTTTGCTACTATATTCAAAAATATTTCTTCATTGATTGGCTATCTCGAAAACTGAATAATGTAAATTATTACTTGAATTAAACTTGAATGAGATCCAAATATTAGCAAATTAATTCAACGTCCTACATCATAACTATAGATATGTATATATATTTTTTTTTTGCCTCAAACATTTATTTGAACCTGTCAACTTTATGTTAACAATCAGCAGATGTGCGGAGAATACAAGAAATAATGACAGCTATGGAGAAGGATAGTGCTCAGCAGGCAGATTTCTTATCCAACGCCTTTTTAGCCTCCTCCTCATGTTCAGGAGTATGTCACCTGTGGCCACGTCTCTTATTAATCTGTTGTTATGTCCGTTTATTTAGACTATTAATATTATTAGAGATAATTTTCTTATCCATTGTCGATTCTACTTGAGGCGCTTAGAGTAGGCAAAACCTCACAGCATAATACTCCTTATTTAAAGTACCCATATTGCTACTAAATAAGAAGACATGTGAAAAGAAAAACAAAACTTTATCTCTTAATAGATTTCTGTTTTTATAATTGAC